GGGGCTGTGTGCCCTGCTCAGCCCTGCTCCATGGCACAGCATGCTCCTGCAGCAGAGGGGCTGTGATCCTGCTCAGCCCTGCTCCATGGCACAGCATGCTCCTGCAGCAGAGGGGCTGTGTGCCCTGCTCAGCCCTGCTCCATGGCACAGCATGCTCCTGCAGCAGAGGGGCTGTGATCCTGCTCAGCCCTGCTCCATGGCACAGCATGCTCCTGCAGCAGAGGGGCTGTGTGCCCTGCTCAGCCCTGCTCCATGGCACAGCATGCTCCTGCAGCAGAGGGGCTGTGTGCCTGCTCAGCCCTGCTCCATGGCACAGCATGCTCCTGCAGCAGAGGGGCTGTGTGCCCTGCTCCATGGCACAGCATGCTCCTGCAGCAGAGGGGCTGTGTGCCCTGCTCCATGGCACAGCATGCTCCTGCAGCAGAGGGGCTGTGTGCCCTGCTCCATGGCACAGCATGCTCCTGCAGCAGAGGGGCTGTGTGCCCTGCTCAGCCCTGCTCCATGGCACAGCATGCTCCTGCAGCAGAGGGGCTGTGTGCCCTGCTCCATGGCACAGCATGCTCCTGCAGCAGAGGGGCTGTGTGCCCTGCTCAGCCCTGCTCCATGGCACAGCATGCTCCTGCAGCAGAGGGGCTGTGTGCCCTGCTCCATGGCACAGCATGCTCCTGCAGCAGAGGGGCTGTGTGCCCTGCTCCATGGCACAGCATGCTCCTGCAGCAGAGGGGCTGTGTGCCTGCCCTGCTGGGGACAGCCCCCCAGCCGTCCCACTGAGGCAGCACTGAGCTGCCATGCAGAACCTGCATTAACAGCCCAGGGACTTTCAGGCTGTGCTTACAGGGAAGGCCCACGAGATGTCAGCAGCCCTCCAGGTCCTGTCCTGGCAGGAGCCGTCAGGGGGAAATCAGAATTTGGGAGGCTGAGAAGAGAGGTCAGGACAACGCTGCTTTGCCCATCTGCTGCCATGCCCCTGAACAGCTCTGTATTCCTAAATCCCCCTGCTCCTGGCCAGGCATTTCCCCTGGGCAGTTCCACACGGCGGTTTCCAATGAAATCTGCATGTTTCTGGCTGCTCAAGCCCACACAAGGACCCTCACTCATCTCCTCTCTGAGGTCCTTGGCCACTCAGCACCACTCTGCTCAGTATCCTCCATCTAAGCAAGGACATGTAAATGTAGCACAAAAATGGCACCTTAAACGAGGCTTGAATGTCAGTGTTGGGAAAATGTGAGAGGCCAAACAGGATGGGGAAGAGAAGTAATTGCCTTTTTTCCTTCTGTCTTCATGCAGAGTGAACAAAAGCTTTGATTTTCATGTCAGAGCTATTGGAAGGGCCACAACCAATTACTCATTTTCTTATTTTTCTTTCTCTTTGCAGGAGAGAGGCTGAAATGCACCAGTAGAAACTTTGAAAAGTTTTAAAAATTAAAGCTGACTCACCAGGATTGGGGTCAAGGATTGAGGCAAAAGTGAGAAAAGCTAAAGTTTCAAGAGAAACCCTACAGAGCAGAGCTGTGAGATGCGAGGATGGAAGGCTGGGAGAGGAGCTGGCAGCCCTGAGGTCATTCCCCACTGCAGATTCACTGCAGAGGAAGGAGAAGGTCATGAGGAGGCCCCAGCAGGCAGAATTCAGTTTTCTGGAAGTCCCCACGTGTTTAGCCAGCCAAACACTGACAGCTGCCTCCCTCCTTTCTCAAGGACAAACTCAGCACTGTCACTCTCAGGTTGGGAACCCTGGTCTTGCTGAGGGTGAGGATGGATGAAACCACCCAACAAAAACAGCACTGGAGGCCTGACACATGGAGCAGCACAGAGAACTAAAGGATAACCCCAGTATGGTATTTCTTCAGGAACAAATGGCATTTTTCCCTGCAGTAACTTGACAGAAGTGAGGACGCTCAGCTGTTCCCTGCACCAGGAAACATGGGAAGGGATTTTAACAAGTCTTCGGTGCCTCCCTGCTCCCACTGACAGCAGCAGGCATTGAAGAGTGTTAATGGAGCATCTTTACACAGGCAACGATGAGCTCTCCTGGCAGAAATCCCCAGAATAAAGGTTCTGATGTCTGTTTTCCTGGTATTTTGGATGGAGTGGAGATGCATTTGCTTAGTTATTCATTCTGAAGTTTCCAAAAATCAAAGGGTGGTACCAGAGCGGAGCTTCTGTGCAGCACAAAGGCAAAGATAAGGCAAGCATGTTGTGTGCTAAGAACAAACAGCAAAGCAGGAGCTCCAGTACACATGGAGTAACTGCAGAGCACTGAGGCAAGGGGACCAAGAGCCCTGGCAACAGCATGGCAGCCTTTGAGAAGCCTCTTTGAAGTACAGGCAGACACAGACTGCTCACATTTTTCATGCAGGGATGTTTTCAGTGGAAAATCAGCCTTTTTTCACCCCCTCCTTGTCTCTACCCCTCAAACCTATCAAGATCACTGCTGTTCTATTTCTCATGAAGTTTTCTGCTGTGCTGTACTTGTGCTTGCACCTGAAATAGACAATGCTCTGCTGGTATCTGGGTCAGCCACACTGAGAAGGGGAATCCCATTATTGTCTCTGGTTGGTTTTAAAACGAATGACTCTGTACAGGCAGCTCAGGCTGGCATTCAAAGGCTGACATTCCACGAAAAGCAGCTGCCACACGTGTGCCAGAGCTCCAGGAGCCTTTCAGACAGAGGCAGGGCTGACATCCCCCAGGGCTGACATCCCCCAGGATGCCTGGGAGAGGTGCAGCAGGGACAGTATTTATCATGTGCTGGTTTCACCCCAAGGCAGACTCTGTGCACCCTCAGATGTGCTCTGCAGGCTGGCAGACAAGCAAACAGCCCTCCCTGCGAGAGCTGCAGGGAAAGCCTTTCCCTTGCTGTGCCTCAGCTCAGGTGAAGCCCCAAGGAAGCCAGCACCAGCTCTGTCCCAGAAGCAGGACTGGGCCGCGCGAGTCTGGCTCTGACCCGTGCCGCTCCTCAGCCACCCAGGAGCGCCACTGGCAGGAACCCTCCTGCCGCACAGCACACACACTGTCAGTCCTGAAGGAACTCAGGAGCACACGGCAGCAGGGTCCCAGAGCTGCTGCAGGACTGACACCACAGCACGGCTAACTCTGGCCAAGCGCCCCAGCCTGACTCAGCTCTGGGGCTCAGGGCACAGCTGTGCATCCTCTCTGCCCCACATCACTGCACCAACTGAGCTGCCAGCTGCTGTGTGGAACAGAGAGCAGTTCTGAACAGCACCGAGATCTCAGAACCTTTGCTTCCTATCTTCATGAACTGCAAGTGCATTTTAAACCTACAGTTCTCAGTGAAGTTAGGAGTGCCAAATACCCTTAAAACACTAAATGTACTGGTGCAAGTGCGCACATTAAAATTTTCTCTAAATTAAATGTTTATGCTGAACCAGTTTAGCAACGTTAAATATTCTTAAAGTGACTGCAACTCAGCTTCTAAGTTAAGCTGTATCAAAACAAAGCATGCTAACTCTTAACAAATATACATTAAGCTGGTATCTTGCAATACAGTTAAAAGCCAATGCTCAGGTGATATTCAATGCCTCTTAGCTGCTATTAAAATTTTGTAGCTGTGCTATGGAGGCCCATTTCAATCAGTCATATGCAGAGCCCCGACACACAGGCAGAAGAGCAAGAATTTACAGTTGCTTGGAAAGAACCAACAGTGATTGTCTCTGCTTCAGAACATGGCAATTTCCCATCTGGGGCTTGGTCCCTCACATATGTTATTTCAGTGGGACATGAACCACCTTTGCAGGCCAAGGCCCAGAGTCATATGATCTTTATAGTGCTGAGAAAAGTAATGCCATTTTATACTTTTTAAGCTTAGGGATTTATAGCTCCAGAACTGTAGGAAAGAGAGGGTATTTCTGGAAGATAATAAACTTCTTTTTTCTCCCCCCCATTTTAAAACATCTTCATGTATTCATTCCAAACATCCAGAGATATTTCTGGTGTTAAGAAGAGCTGTGGAACAAAGTTGCTCTCCTACAGCAGCAGGAAGAAGATTACCTACCTTTTTCCTCATTATTCTTGGCCACCATTAGCAGCAAGATATTTTATTAGAGCAAAAAGAAAAAGAGAGAAGAGCTTGATTTTATCCCCATTGTCCTGCAGCAGCAGCCAGCAGCCCTGATCAGCAGGTGATGAGTGCCCTTCCTGAGCAGGCAGTGAATGCAAATTTACCAAAGAGCACTTAGCAAATGTAACTACAGGGTCCATACTCTCAGGATTATCTGATTTTCCCTTGTTGCAGGAAAATCGTCATGAAAATGAAATCCTAAATTGATTCTGCAGCTGCGTGGCAGGGAAAGGTGCATGGCTGGCAGAGTTCATGCTCTCAGCATCTCACAGGTGTGATTCACCTGCATGTCAGGCTGTGCAGTCCCAGGGACACTGCACAATCAGGGCCAGTTCATCAGAGTCCTGAGCCTGGAATCCTGCTGGCTCCCTGCCCAGCGCTGCTGTACCCTCCAAGCCCAGTGTTCCTCCCAGGCGTGCAGCCTGAGCCCCAGGCCATGGCCCGGGCTGTGTCACTGTCCCATCCCCAGCATGTCCCACCCCACTGGTGGGTGCAGTCAGTCCCTCCCCGAGCTCCTTGCCCAGCTGAACAGGCCATTTGATTTCCCTCCTTTGGTGTGCATTTCCCTCTCTCCCTGGCTCCAGCCTGCCTTTGCCTGAAGCCCTGTTGCTGAATTAATTACCAAGGAGCTGTGTGCTGCAGAGGAGCAGCATTGGGGCCTCCCCTGGGACCTGGGGCTGTTTCCTCTGCAGCCCGGCAGTGCCAAGGCTCAGCCCTGCCAGGCCTGTGACTCGGGCTCTCCAGAGACACTCCCACCGCTTTTACACACACACAATTCCTTTTTGCTGCTAGATGTTTGCGTGTGCAGCTCCCTCCCAGCCATGCCGGCCCCCTGCACAGCGCCATGCTGAGCCCACTCGTGCTGGCCCTGCTTCCTTAGGGTGCATCGGGGCAGTGACAGACAGGCTGAGGGCCGCAGTACCTTCATAGGAGCCAGCTGGATGGGGGTGATGCACGAGGGATCCACCATGGGCTTGGGCCTGTTGGCTGTGTCTGCCAGCAGGCTGTGCCACTGCTGGGGCAGCCCCGTGAACTTCTGCTCCCGGTGGTCGAAGCCGGTGTGCACCCGGTGCTCGAAGTTGGAGGGGCCGGAGATTTCCAGCCTCTTCTTCTTTTTCCCAAACATGGTGGAAAGATCTGCAGAAAGGAAAAGGCCACATGTTTACACTGCCGTATCACTCAGCCACTGTCTCTGCTTCACAGGGAACTTCGGTAGATGCCATTAGCCACCTACCCCATGAACTTCCCTGCACACACTGAGATCTGTGCGAGGCAAGCGCTCCCCTGACCTCTTTCTGGGAGAAGATTTTAACAAATGAACCTGTTCAGAATGCCTTATGAAACAAGGGAATTCCCAGGAAAGGAAGCCCCAGGTGCCCCTTTGTGCTCCTCTCTGTGGTGCTGCAGGTTGCAGCCCATGGGAGCAGCGCCAGCAGCAGGGATGGCTCTGCTCCAGGGACAGCCCTGGCTAAGGGGTGAGCTGTGCCCTGACACGAGGGGGAGCAAATGCAGGCACAGCTCTGCAGCCCTGGCAGGGATAAGGCACTTGCCCATCCCCTCCCCAGCTGCAGCAACCCTTGGGCCGGTGGGTCCCACCCTGAAATGCAGAGCAGCCTCACAGGGCTACTGAGGCAAGTCCAGAGCCGGCTGTCTGGAGGGCTCCAGAAATCTGAGCGCAAGGCAGGATAAATTCCTGCTCCCAGGGAACACACAGGGGCCCTGTGGCCTGTCAGTGACACACTGTCCTGTGCTGGGAAAGCTCTCTGCCTGCTTTCTCCCCCACCCTGCTCTCTGGGCATTCCCAGCAGGGCTGGCCCAGCACTCGAGCAGCATCTGTGCGAAGCAGCAGCAGGGTGAGGAGGCTGGCAGCTGCCCTTCTATCACAGCTCTAAAGGTGCTTCCCTGACTTTGTTCAGGAGGTGGAGAGGGGAAGCAAGGAGAAGAAAATACGGTTGTGTTGCTGCTGCAGCTAAGGAAGGATGCAGTGATAAATCAGACATTTATTCCATCCTCACTGCCTTTTACTGGTTTATCTAAAGATCAAGTCCATCATTTGAAAATTGATTGTGGGCTGCATTCTAAGTCCCCCCTGTGTATTTGTAGGTGATTGTCTCCTTTGAGCATATTTCTTTTAGACAGAGCAGACTTGGCCTCTCTTCACAGGTCTGATCTTCCACACTCCTCTCTCTGGCTTTCTGCCCTACTCTGAAATCCCCAAAGTCTCCTCTCTTGTGACAGTCTCTCTCCAGCTCTGTCCACTTGGGTATCTTCCTCACCTTCCTCTCCCAGAACCTCCAAAAAGACACATATCAAAGTGATTATATTGTAATACAATCACTTTGAGATGCGCCTTTTTTGCTTTCCCAGCATCACAATTGTTTTGTTTCCCTTTGGTGCACGTGGGTACCGTGTGGCACCCACAGCCACAGTTCCAAAGCCAGGGTGGTGCTCTCTGCCCAGAGACTGCCCATGTGAGCCCTTTCCAGCTCAGCCAGCAGCAGCCCCAGCCAGGCAGTGCCCCAGCAGGGCAGCAGTGCAGATCCATGGCCCTGCATCGACCCCCTGTGCCCCAGGGACAGGGATCCATGACACTATTGGAGGAACATTTTACACCATCAGCTCTAGACATGTGTTCTTTCCTCTGATCAATGTCGGCGTTTCCCACAGGACTTGCATCCCAAGGCAGCTGCTTCAAGTCCTCCTGAGCTCCAAACACCCCTGGGTAACTCAAAGCCCATCAGTGGCACAGTGCACACTGCTTTTGAAAATGAACAGCACTTTCACCCACCAAGACAGCAGCCAGCAGTCACCTCCACTTCGCTGCAAAGCCCAGCCAGCCTCCCTCAGCACAGTCCCCTCAAAGAATGCAACATACACAGCAGTCACAAGGGAGCCCATTGCCCCTCATTGATCCCAAGGAATGGAAACGGTGCTGCCTGCTCTAAACATCCCTGGTAAGTGACTCCATGCTCCCCAAGACATCTAAAGCCATTTTAGGAATAACCCAAGTGCTTTGAAGAAGAATGACAGAGCTTTCCAGGATGCTGGATAATGCGTGTGTGGCAGAAAACTTGTGAAATGTGTATCAAGAGCACAAAATGCATGACATTCATTCAGGCACCCTCCCATTCACACAAACCAGCAATCCTCTCACAGTTACTAAGAACCCCTAATTTCCTAATGGGATTGCTTGGGAAAACACCCCCAGAGAGGAGGGCAGCCTTGCTGAGAGGCCCAGGGAGGAGGGAGGCAGCAGAACAGCTCTGAGAGCTGCCCCTGAGCCACCCCCACGCGAGCACTCACCCTGCACTTAATTCCTCCTGACAGCTTCCAACGAGGCCCTGCCTGTGCCAGGGCCCCCAGCAAGTGCCAGCTCTCTGTGCAGCTCCTCCCGTGCCCACCCCACAGAGGAGAGGAAATGACAGGCACTGTACCTGCCATGTGTGCTATTTTGGTGGCATGAGCACAGGCAGCATGTCTGTGCTCTCCTTGCCAAGGGACAGCCTGGCTGCTCCAGTGGCACCTGGCACAAGGTGACACTGGGGGGGCACTGCTGATGGCACTGGGCTTGGCTTTGGGGGAAGCAGGAGCCACCCCTGCAGTGCTTCCCTGGGGCAGTTCTGCAGGAATCCTGCACTCACTGTGGTGCTGAACTGATGCAGCACATGGACTCTGTGTTTGTCCCCTGTCACTCACCCCAGTGCAGAACTGATGCAGCACATGGACTCTGTGTTTGTCCCCTCTCACTCCAGTGCAGAACTGATGCAGCACATGGACTCTGTGTTTGTCCCCTGTCACTCACCCCAGTGCAGAACTGATGCAGCACATGGACTCTGTGTTTGTCCCCTGTCACTCACTCCAGTGCAGAACTGATGCAGCACATGGACTCTGTGTTTGTCCCCTGTCACTCACCCCAGTGCTGAACTGATGCAGCACATGGACTCTGTGTTTGTCCCCTCTCACTCACCCCAGTGCAGAACTGATGCAGCACATGGACTCTGTGTTTGTCCCCTCTCACTCACCCCAGTGCAGAACTGATGCAGCACATGGACTCTGTGTTTGTCCCCTGTCACCCCAGTGCAGAACTGATGCAGCACATGGACTCTGTGTTTGTCCCCTGTCACTCACCCCAGTGCAGAACTGATGCAGCACATGGACTCTGTGTTTGTCCCCTGTCACTCACTCCAGTGCAGAACTGATGCAGCACATGGACTCTGTGTTTGTCCCCTGTCACTCACCCCAGTGCTGAACTGATGCAGCACATGGACTCTGTGTTTGTCCCCTCTCACTCACCCCAGTGCAGAACTGATGCAGCACATGGACTCTGTGTTTGTCCCCTCTCACTCACCCCAGTGCAGAACTGATGCAGCACATGGACTCTGTGTTTGTCCCCTGTCACCCCAGTGCAGAACTGATGCAGCACATGGACTCTGTGTTTGTCCCCTGTCACTCACCCCAGTGCAGAACTGATGCAGCACATGGACTCTGTGTTTGTACCTGTGGGGCCTGCAGGAGGCAGCCCTTCCGTGCAGCACACAGTGAGCTCAGGAGCAGGACAGCAGGACACCTAACCAGTCTGCTGAGCCTGCTCTGCTCCAGGCTGCCATGCCCAGGGCTCCTCAGCCCTCAGCCCAGCCGTGGGGCAAGAGTTAGGGATGGCAGAGCTTCTGAACCACAGCCGTGATGGCAGAACAGGGACAGAACACTCAGCAGAGCAAAACACAGCACTGGGTGGTCACAATGAGGCTTCTTTGTGACTGCCCAAAATGAGACTATTGCAGCACCTGCTGAGCACTCAGCACCTCTCCTGGGTCACCCACAGCAGGGCTGGTCCCAGATACACCACCAGGGGATGGGGAAGAGCAGGGACAGCAGGAGACACGTGCGAGCTGTGCTCTGGGCATTGTTACCCAAGCCTTCCATAACTGCAGCACTTGCATCACTGTGTCTGTGCCCAGGAAGGAGCAGTGCCAGCCCTGCTGAGCAGCTGTGCCACAGCTCCAGGGGCTGCTGCGGGCCCCAGGGGCTCAGGAGCCATCGCTGCCATTGCCCTTAGTGCTGTTTCTGTGGTGCCCACCAAACCCAACTCCATGGCCATCAGCACAGCCAGACTGGCTCCTCTCACTGCCCTGCTCTCTGTGCACAGCCATAATTCACTGACACCACAGAGCCAGGGGCTCCCAGGCTGCTCCACACCCCACCCACAGACCAGAGCCCCACTGAGGACATTTCCCGAGATGACCCCCATGCAAGGTGTGAGATGTGCACCCCCAAACGAAAAATAAATCCCGTATCAGCTCCTGCACTCACTGTGCTGCCCCCAGGCCCAGCTGAAGGCTGTTCCCAGCCAGGAGCCCCTCCAGTGCCACACTGCAGCAGGAGGGGGGCAGTGCTGCCCAGGGTGCCCATCCAGGCTCTGCCAGGGTGGGCTGGGCTCAGCACAGGATTTCCCACAAAAGGCTGAGCCCTGCCAGCTCACAAAGAGCTCACAGGTTTGTTCACATTCAGAATTTTGCCCCATCCTGGGGTTTCCAAGAGCTTTCCCTCTCCTGTATGTGAGACCAGAGCACACTCCAAGACTGATGAGCTGAAAAGCTGAAAATCCAGATCTATGTTACTGCCCTCAAAGAACAAATGTTTGCGTTTGCAGCAAGTTAGATCCAAGGCAGCAGGAATAAAATGAAAAAAAGAATTACTTCATTCTAATGTTAATGGTATTCTGTATCTTTTATCATATCCTAAGAGTAACTCAGTCAGCTACAAAGTAAGAGAGAACTCTGTTTAGCTCTGCCCCATTTTCTGTTGCAAACAAAAAAGTCAGAGCCAATTTTTGCTCCCCCTCCAAATAGCTGCTCTTTTAAAAAAGACTAAAGTTGGAAATACCTTTCATGTCTTGTAATCTTGAAAACTGCCAGTGTTGCAAGGGTATCCCTTAAGCAGTGACAACGGCCCTTGCCATCCCCCATGTCCCCAGCTAACCCTGGGCAAAGGTCTGTGATGTTCTGCCACACATAAAAACACAAGTCAGTACCTGGAATAATGAGTGAGATGGGAATTTTCACTGTGCAATGGAAGTTTCAATGACTCTGCACTGTAGGCTGTGTGTCCCACTGACCCCAGGAACCCTGAGTGCTCCC